GATCGAATTCAGTTTGTTCATGTTAATGATAGATCTTCAACACGCTCAAAGGTTACCTGTGGAGTACCACAGGGATCAGTGCTAGGACCAATTCTCTTTACTTTATACATGCTCCCAATTGGTAGAGTTATTAGACAGCATGGGATTAATTTCCACTGTTATGCTGATGATACCCAGCTATATCTGTCTATAAATCCAGATGAAGCTAACCCATTACATAGATTACAGGCATGTCTTGAAGACATAAAAACCTGGATGACTCTTAACTTTCTGCTTCTGAATGCAGACAAAACAGAAGTTATAGTCTTTGGACCAGAGTCTCTGAAAAAGAAACTGATTAGCCAGTCACTTCATTTGGATGGGATTAAACTGATTTCAGATAATAAAGTAAAAAATCTTGGTGTTGTTTTTGATCAGGACCTGTCATTTAGGTCCCATATCAAGGAGGTTTCTAGAATTTCCTTCTTTCATCTGAGGAACATTGCAAAAATTAGAAATATCCTGTCCAGGGGTGATGCTGAGAAACTAGTCCATGCATTTGTTACTTCAAGGCTGGACTATTGTAATTCTTTACTATCAGGAAGTCCACAAACTGTAGTTAAAAGCCTTCAGCTGATCCAAAATGCTGCAGCCAGAGTTCTAATGAAAATTAAAAAGAGAGATCATATCTCGCCTATCCTGGCTTCTCTTCATTGGCTTCCTGTTAAATCAAGAATAGAATTTAAAATCCTCCTTCTCACATATAAAGCCTTAAATGGCCAAGCTCCATCTTATATCAGAGATCTGATTGTTCCTTATGTTCCTAACAGAGCACTTCGCTCTCAATCTGCAGGTTTACTAGTGGTTCCTAGAATTTCTAAAAGTAGAATGGGAGGCAGATCTTTTAGTTATCAGGCTCCTCTCCTGTGGAACCAACTACCAGTTTTAGTCCGTGAGGCAGACACCCTGTCTACTTTTAAGGCTAGGCTTAAAACTTTCCTTTTTGATAAAGCTTATAGTTAGAGTGGCTCAGGTTATCCTGAGCTATCTCTATAGTTATGCTGCTATAGGCTTAGACTTTTGGAGGACATAGGGACCCCCATTTCATCATTCTGCTTCATTCTCTCTCTGTTCTCCTATTCTGCAGAATCTGTTAGTTCAATCTCTAACCTTCTGCTCTCTCTGCTTTTCCTCAGAGTAGCTTTGCCTCGTCTGTTCCTGTTTGGCTGTGACGTCATCCTGGAAAGAAACATCAGCTGTGCTGCTTCTATCAACACCCTTGTTTATAGATGTTGGAGATCGGCCTGTTTTCTAGTGTGGTCCTGTTTCTCTGACCGTGACTGAGTGGATGTGCTTTCTTCGTCCTCTGGCATGGGAGCTGCCTTGGAGCTCGTCTGCCTGGCTGTGTGTTTCCTGGACGGGGCCGCCTTTTACAGCTGCTTTTTGTATCTCTGCTTCTGTCTCCTTGAACCCCAGTCGGCCTCGGCAGATGGCCGCTCACACTGAGCCTGGTTCTGCTGGAGGTTTCTTCCTGTTAAAAGGGAGTTTTTCCTCTCCACTGTCGCTACAAGCATGCTTAGTGTGGGGGATTGTATTTGAGTCAATGAGTCAATGCAATCAACTGGTTTTCCTTAGATAGAAAACTTTGTATCAATTTGATCTGGTTGAACTGTAAAGTGCCTTGAGATGACATGTGTTGTGAATTTGGCGCTATATAAATAAACTGAATTGAATTGAATTGATAGATGTGTTGTGTCCATACGCAGTGCGCTGATTCATTGTTTTTTTTTTTCAGCTGCTGAAAGCGAGGCAGAGTGTGCTAGCAGATGAGGAAGTGGAACTCTGGAAGTCCGCCTTCCTCGGCGGTGTCTCTGGATGGATTGTACGGTCGCCGCCATTTCGTAGGCCGGATCTCACTGAACTATGTGTTAAGCTGCAGTCCCGGTTAGAAGCGATGCCTTAGTACAGGGCCACGCACAGTAGGCGTCTGCACATCGGACCTGCCTCGGAGGGAATGCTGCCAGTTACCTCCAACCCCGAGGAAGCAAACGGACCGTTCACGCACTTTTAATTTTTAGAAACGCATGTGTTTGGATACGCGTTGTATATAGTTGTGTGTGTTTTAATAAAGCTCTTTCTTTGCATAAACAGCTTCCTGCAAATGTTCATTTCCTGTATAAATTCATTCATGTCCCTGATGGTAGCATAATAATTGTGTAGTAGTGTAGGATAACATAAATCCACACGATATGAATGAATAAATATATGAATGAATAAATAAATATATATATATATATATGAATAAATATATATATGTAAATTTATATGTAAATATATATATATACCAACCAATCACAAGCGACTTTACTTGTTTAAAAAGAAGTGGTTCCGTCCAATACTCAGTAAGAAAATTAAAGCCTGGCGTGGCCACGTGTGGTTTTGCTGCCAATCAGGAGCGATTTCATTTGTTTGAGAATAGTGGTTTCAGCCAATACTGAGAAGGTTATTCAAGCCAGACCTGGCAAGCCGCGCGGGTTTGCTGCATTCATATGCTAATTAGGGCCATTAGTACAGCTGATCGCTCTCCACATACGTCATGGTACGTTTCCGACAATTTGTGGCACGACAAACGCGGACAAGCACGGGTTGCAAATTGTCGGAAACTGACGAAAATCAGGCAGATCTGCGGGAGTTTACGGGGGTTTACGGGGACGAAAATCTCACTTTTCATGCAGTGATAGTTGTTGCAAATTGGGTTGAGTTTGGTTGGTCTGATTTTGTCCTGGTTAAATCCAATAATAGACGTTTAAAAGACTTTGAAAACCAAACTTTCAACGTAGATGACGTTTGGACATAAATCATGTTGTCGTTCCAGTGTCTGTTTAACTAAGTTTTGCTCAGTGAGTAACAGCTGTTGTCCCTTTACCCTTCAGTACATCTCTTATTTAATACCTGAATCAAACAGCTTAATTTCCTCCTCTGTATGTCATCAATTTCTGCAGAGAAAATGTTCTTGATTGATGTCATGCTTTAAAAAAAGATAAGATCATAGGCTGCTTGCACTAAGGCTATTATCTGCTAAAGAACTCTCACTGCACTTCCTAAAGTTTCACCTTTTCTTTCACAATTACTGTCTTCCAACAACAAAATACACTAAAGCTTAAATGCCTTAACTAAAAAAGGGTAATTTTATGCATCAAACTGAAAAACATCAGGAATGGATGTGTTCTCTTCGTCCTCTGGCATGGGAGCTGCCTTGGAGCTTGTCTGCCTGGCTGTGTGTTTCCTGGACGGGGCCGCCTTTTACAGCTGCTTTTTGTATCTCTGCTTCTGTCTCCTTGAACCCCAGTCGGCCTCGGCAGATGGCCGCTCACACTGAGCCTGGTTCTGCTGGAGGTTTCTTCCTGTTAAAAGGGAGTTTTTCCTCTTCACTGTCGCTACAAGCATGCTTAGTGTGAGGGATTGTATTTAAGTCAATGAGTCAATGCAATCAACTGGTTTTCCTAAGATAAAAAACTTTGTATCAATTTGACTGTATGATCTGGTTGAACTGTAAAGTGCCTTGAGATGACATGTGTTGTGAATTTGGCACTATATAAATAAACTGAATTGAATTGAATTGAAATTGAATATATTTCTTCAGGAAAAATTGAAAACAAATCAGAAACCAATTTTAAATAGCATATTTATTTGTTTTCTTTCCGATTTATTTAAATGTGGGGAAAACAGTCAAACCAATTTAATTGTTTTCCAAGATTATGTTTGAGACCCAGGGACAAAAATACAATACAGTCAGTAGGTGAAAGTGTTTGTGTATAGAAGCTGGAAGTCCTTTGATGGAAAAGATCTCTACTTATTCCAAAGAATGCAGAGTCAAGATAATATGGGCAGTGGCAGATGCAAATTCGCTAGGAGGGTAGCAGAGTAAAGATAGAGAGAAAGGATGCACCATAAGTACAGGACCTTTGAGGGGGAATTTCCACAGAAATCCATCATCCTGAGGACAAAAAGGCTTTTTCAAGAAAGTACAGACTTAAAAGGTAGACTCATCAGTTTATTTTAACTGTATTTTTTCTCATATTAAAAGCCATATTTCTGGACAAAATGGGTTACAAAATAAACGACTGATTAAAACACTATGCTTGTATTTTCAACCTGTAAATCAAAAGTTGTTTCATGAAAATGAGCTTGCTTACAAAATATTTTTAAACAGGATAAACTTTTTGTTTCTTACAACTATGGACAGAAAACTGCAGAAATTTTAAACTTCCCCCATAAACAATTTACTATGTAAACTGCCAACAAAACACCACTTCATGTCCCCTGAATTCACCCATATTTAGTCTCATTTTATGCTGCCAACCAACACAAATCAGCTTATATATTTGCAGCTGAAGGAATGGCAGATGGCATAAACATAAATTTACCATTAAAAATGAAAACATTTTGTGTCAGTCTCTATCAGTTCTGTGGGGTTAATGACTAATCCCAAATTTACACTGCGTCTGGCTCTGCTGCAAACTTCTCTGGCCTCCAGAGGTGCTTCAAATAGCATACACAGATTGTGCATATGTTATATTCTACAATGGGTTAGCACACTAATTGCAGAGAAGCTATAATTGTTGCTTAATTATGTTCATTTAATGTTTATGTTTTGATTTCCTATGTAGATATTCAGTGAAATAATGTGTGAAATTGCTCATAAAAATTGCATATAAAAAGTCTAAATATATAAATTATAGTGAGGTGTTTAAGTTAGTCCGTGTTTAGTGAATTGTTTTGAAAATCTTTATACTATGATTATTTTTTGTTTCCTTCTGTTGGGGTATGATTTATATAAATCTGCTGCGATCTGGCGTCCAACAAAGATAGAATGGAGTTAAATCTTGCCAGAGGGCTGTTTGGTCGCAGGCACCCACCAACACTGACAGATGCCGTCTAAATACCCTAATTAAAAATAATGGCTGTTTTTTTTTTTGACAACTTAGCAGCTGAGTGGAGCAGAGCCAGACACAGTGTAAATGTTGTCCTGGTACCAGCTTCTTCCACCTGAGATGTTGATCTGTGTAGCTTTTCCAGAGTTGTAAAGCTTTTAATTGCTTTTTTAATCTATGCTCTGTTTGCCTGGCCTTTTGGTGTAGATCAGGGGTCTACAGCTCTAATCCTGCAGAGCACATATTTTGCAACTTTCAGATTGATCCCTTCTTGAAGTAGCCTATGCTCATTTTCAGGCCCTCAGCAGAATTTGATGAGATACTGATGAGGAAAATCAGTCATTAAGGTGAATAGCTGTCATCCTTTTTTAAGTTTAGATGAGGCATCAAAGGGTGCTCCATTAAATGCTCAAAACTCAGCATATTGTTTTCTTACCAACCCTGTTCTAAACTTCTCCACATCTTTCTCCCTCATCTTTGTGTTCTGGCTCTTTATCTTCAAGATGCTCTTTGTTGTATAACAAACGTCTGATTCCTTCCCAGGATAGCTGCAGCTATGTTGGATTAAGTTATGCACAGGTGGAATCTGTTTACTCATTAGCTGACCTCTTTATTTTGTGGAGGGGAAGTAAAATAATGGGGGGGATGAATGAATTTGAACAAAGAAAACCTTTCTTATTACAAGTCTGATTGTGAAGCTTTCGCTTCCCCTAAAATGTTTAGAAAACATTTCAAAAAGAACTTGGTGGAAAAATACATCATTTTACTTTAATCACTGGCCAAGATGCAGCTTCAGCTGGCTTATAAATGAAAATCCTGTAATTTGTTATCATCTTATGGTCAGAGTTAATATTGTGTGATTCCCACCAGCTGTTTCAGCATCAGTAGCAAAAAACAAACTTCTTCAGATTTCAAACAATTTTCCGAATAAGATTATTTGTAGATTTATGCTGAATGAAAACCTGTCAGTCAGTGGCTAACATGGAAAAGATTGAAAGCTTTGATGTGCGGTGTACTGTGCCTCTTATCTGGGAACACAAGGAATGCTTTAAGCCCATTACTAACTCTTTCAGTCCAAATGGAGCTACCGCAGCCTGGGGGAGGACATAAAAGTAACTCCCATCATCTTTCAAAGCCCTTACACCTTTAATTTGTTTAGACAAACTGCCCAAAACATGTTGTCCCCAACGATGGATGAGCCTGGGGTCACTGAGCAGGTTCTAGCTCTTAACTATGACTGCTGGCATGTGCAAAGCCAGATAACACATAGCTTGCACCAAAAGGAATATTTAAGATCCACTCGGAAACCTTCCGGCTGTCACACCAGTCCATCCACATCTTCCTCTGGGAATTCTCTGTTTGAAGTCGTATTTTTTTCCCCCCAAACACTAGCAGCACCTCCACCCTGATGCCATGCACGATATGCGGAGAAGTTTGTAAATTTCGATGCAGCTGCAGCTTAAATTAGAGGCTTTCTGTGCTGTGCACTGTGAACCACATGTGTGCCTGTGTCGGCTGCAGTGTCTGCAACTTAGATCATTCTCACACTTTGGTCGTACAGCACAATGTGGATGTAGAGGTGCGACTGGAGGAGCGTCCTGCTGTAGTCCTTACTGGGGCCAGACTGAAACACAAGAGAGAAACAAAGAGTTATTCAAACTTGCTGATGTGTGGTTTTAATTCACCCTAAAAAAAAGCAGCTTTTTCAGGAAGAGGTTCATCAGGGCAGAGGTGTCAAAAATATGAATGTTTATTACTCAAGTAGAAGTATAAATCAGCTGTTAAACACTTTTGTAGAAGTTAGTGTTAACTTAAACTTTTCACCCAAATAAAAGTATGAAAGTACCATTTTTAAAACCAAAGTATAAAAGTAAAAGTAATGCAGGAAAAAATGTTAAGCACAGATACTTTAAACTAGCCTGATAAACCAGACTACATGTGAGATTAAATGTGTAATTTAGTCTGGCCCCGATGAATGAGACATCAGAAGATTGATGATGAGAACAACCCATTGTTTTTCAAACCATGTCTGTGCCTATTGGCCGCTTCCTGCTCACTTTTCAATAAAAACCCCAAGTCTAATCCTTCCAAAACTGATTTCAAAGCTGAGTCAAACGAGAACTGTTTAATAGTGGTTGTCATATTCCTTGTGTTATCTCCAGTGTCGCGCAGCTTTGTCGTAACGCCCTCAAAACCCCGCCCGCTTTGCATCCAGAAATTCAAAACATCTCCGCGTTATGATTGGCCCGCCAGTTCTAGGGCCTGGGGCATTGATCGAGGCTAGACCAAACTCGCAGGCAAAAATTATTTTGGCTGCTCGCAGGTGGGGCTAATTTACTAGGCTAACTTTAAACCTTATCCTGGTTGCTGCACTAACCTATTAAAGGAACATTTTTATACAACTCTGAATTATAATGTCCTTGTACTTAATTCCTTTAGTTTTATAACTAATGGCAACAGTGTCATTTTTAACTTTGCATCATCTTGAAGAACAATTAATTTTGGTACATTGTGAACCACAAATAAATTAATTGTCAGAATGAAACAAATTATTTGATGGTTTATTTTTTATATACTAAAAGGCCATAACGAAAATGAGCTTAAATTAAATGAAACTAACAGCACTATTTTTAAAATTTAAGGAGTAGAAAGGGGAGATAACTTCAAAAGATTGTAAGGAGTAGAAGAAAAGCGTTGTCTAAGATATATTACACCAGTAAAATATAGAGAGACAAAATTTCTACTTATGTGAGGTAAAGAGGTATTCATACTTTTTATTTTACACATCTGCATCACGTATAGGAATATACAGTAGATTAGGCTAAAGTGTTTCTGCATGAACCTCTGTGGGTTTATGTGTTTGAGAAATCAAAACATTCAGCGAAAAAAACAGTGTTATAGCAAATAAAATCAAATAAATTGGCTCATTAGAAACAATGATTTTAAATGTCTTTTAAAGATAGTATTAAACCATAAAAACTTCCACAAAAATGTTTTTACATTAAAACCTTTAAGCTTTGTGGTATTATAGAAGGATTTTATGTGACAGTCCCACATATAGTAGAGCCTAAATGCTATGAGAAAGGGGCATGATAAGTAATTCTCAAACATTTTGCCTGAAGACCACCTTTAAGTGCAAAACAGCTACAAACGTGTGGAAGGAGGTGGTCTGGTTACATCATACCAAAAAAATAAATGTTGGCCTACATTCAGAATATTGGTTGGCAGGAGAGTGATTGTAAACCTCACCCTCAATACATCAGTCCTATTGTAAAACATGGTGCTGGCTGCATTGTGCTGTGGGGGTGCAATTTTAAGCATACATAGTAAAGCTGGTGAGAGATGGGAAGGAGGATGACGCTTACTAAAGTGCAGTTCTGGCAGAAAACCTGTTGAGAAGAGGGTGGATGATCACTTTCAAACAGGATCAAAAACCTTAAACATACAGCAACCGCAGTAATTAAACAGTTTACATCAAAGCATGTTTGTGTTTGAATGGCCCACTCAAAGTCAAGACCTAAAAAAAATGCTTGGCAAATCTGTTTATGTCAATTTCTGCCTGTTGGTCTTGATAAAAAAGGAAAAAAAGAAAAAGGAAAAACATGTTCCTGTGGAGCTGAAATGTATTTCCACAAACAGCTGGAACCATTTTCTTTAAGACCAACTGTGTCAGAATCCTGTGCTGCGACTCCATCCATCGGACGAACCATTACACTCAATTTACATGTTTACCTCAAACATCCCTGTGGGTGTCGTAATGACTGAGGTGAGTTCAAAGCACCTTTAGGAGAAACAGACGGCTAAAAATGACTTCATCACCAGAGTCGGACATTCTGGTAGGTGACACAATCGTTATCAATAATCCAAAATGTTTAATTAATGCTCCTATCATCAGTAAGACAAAAGTTTTTTTTATGTAGCCAGTTTTGTTCAGCCAAACCGAATAAGCCACAGAGATAAGAGAAGGCCTTCATCAACAAACCCACTTCTCTGGCTAGAAGAGAAAAAGTGGTTATGGTCTGGAAAAGGCAGAAAAACAAAGCCAAGAAAAAAAAAAAAAAACAAGGTTGTATAGCCTGAAGTTTAAAGATTAAGCAGCTGATTTGCAACTATGGAACACAGATGGAGGGTTAAAAGCTGGACGTTCTTGTCTGAGCTGTGCTGCGTTTCTGAGCATGCGGGTGGTTTGATGTCCCTGGTTTCCTGTGCCTTCCATCGCTTGTGTTTTTAATAGACGGCCTGTCGGGGCGGGGCTCAACCACAGCTAGAACACTCTGCTGCCATTTTGGCCTCAAATACGCAGTCCCCACAGCCCTGTCTGCAATTTCAAAATAGGTCGGCCCCACCAACTACATCCCTACCCCCCAGCAAAGAGGAAAGCGGCAGGGAAAATAAGAACCATGCCTGTGGGCCGTTATTCTTCCTAGGCTTTAGCCAGAAGGACAGCGTGGAGGAAGCACCTGCCTCGACCCCTGATCCTTCGTTCTACTTGCAGGTGGAAAGAAAATAAGATTTCTTTATCACTCTCTGCCTCTCCAGCCACACCAAAAATGTCTAGCTGATATCTGTGGCTTGTTTAAAGCTGTAATACCTAAAGCTTGAGCCAGTTGCTCAGTATAGGGGCTTTGATATTAACATGCTCTGTTCCAGCTTAAAGGCCAATCTGTGCCTGGAAGCAAACTGGATCTGATAAGGCTGATAAGGCTTTTCTATTGAGAAAGATTTTTTTACAGCCATGCAGCAGGTGACTTTATCTGATTAACTTCCCCATGTGTCCGCTTAAAGCCAAAAAACAAAAGCAGTAAGAAAAAACAATCCTTACCCAAGGATCCACATTCAGTATCTTTTCGTCCCTCTTGCTCTTAAAGAGAAGTCCATTTGGGTCATCATAAACCACCAAGAAGTTGGGACTAGAGTTGGAGGTGGCTGCTTGTGTCCTCCAGTTGTAGTAGCTGTGAAGGAAATGGGATAAAATTGATCCAGCAATTCAACAAGGTTTTAAATGAAGAATAAAAATGGATGCTATAGGCACAGTTCAGATAGCTGTGTAGATCTCCACTCATTTTCTGTGCATTTCTGCTAACTGACCATGAATACATACTGTATTGTGTAGAGCAGGGGTGCTCAAGTTCAGCCCTTTTAGATGCATCTCTTCTCTAACACACCTGAATCGAAAGGTCAATCCCCACATTTAGCCCAGTAGAGGCATGGTAACGAGCCACTCATTTGATTCAGGTGTGTTAAAAATGGACTACAACATAGGCACTTAAAAAGCAGGCTTCGCCAAACACGTTCATTTGAGTATTGGATTAATACCTTTTCTTCTGTATTGTTCCTCGCTCCTCTGCACCATCTTTAGAAACTCTATGGGGGCGCGGCCTCTTCCGGAAGATGCCTGAATGAGGATGTTTGTGGTAAACTACATGCTGTCTGCCTAATCTGATAGGAGTTTTCCTGCGCAAATGGTAAAAAAATGCTTAGGGCACCTCATTCCTATTTTTCTGTTATTTTCAAATGTAGCATAAAATTGGACCTTTAACAAAAAAAAACTGTATAAAATCTAGCAGAGATCCCACAGCAACCATGATATGTATCAACCTTCACTTCATCAGCTGCTGTTTCAGCAGGTCTGGTAGATCTTTGGTAATTGCTTCTTATGTCAAACATTCTGTATCTTTCCAAGCAAATTCTACAGTAGCAGGAAAGAGCCAAAGATCTTCATTAAAATAGGTTATTTGGGAAGATGTTGGTTATTTATTTAACACAGCAGTAATTTACCCCTTAGAAAACATGTAACCAATTTTCTGAATGTTTCAAAGATCCGAGCTCATATAACAGTATAAAGGCTACTTGAACGGAAATTAGACTAAAAGCAACACTAATTGGAAGACAAACAGTGAATGATTTTCAGAAATCCCATTGAGATATTTATCAGTACCTGTGATGCTGTGTTGCCCTTAAGGCATTTCTATTAAGAAGTAAGTTCACAAGGTTAAATAAATAACCTTAACTTGTTGTTTAACTTAGTGTCACCAACATCTTGCAAACACTACAGATGCACATGGGAACAGATGATCACTGGCCAGAGTTACTTAACAAACCCTGACAGGCTGTTGGGAACCATTGGGGCTAACAGATTGTGCTAACAAGGCCAAAGGGTGAGCATTACAAGAAGGTTCCATTTATCTGTTACAAAAAGTTAGGGGACTCCCTATATATAATATAATATAGGAAGTACCATCTCAATATATCTTACATAATATAAGGTCTACTACCTTAACAGTGAAAGAGGTTGCATGCCAACTGGGATTAAAAAAAGCCAAACTAATATACAACAGTAAACATAGACCTATATGAAATGTTCCACACAAAGGGCCGGATCTATCAAAGGTTTGCGTGTATAAAAACGTGAGCTATTTCACTGCGCACGCTAAAAAATGTACAAACTGATCTATCAACAGCGTGCTAAAAGGATTTGGTCTTTAAAACGTGCTAAATAGTGCCTCTTATCCATTTAGTACTTTTTCTGCAATGAATATGCAATATGGGGCGTTTACACGCAAAAGTGCGTCTTGTGGGAGGAGAACATGTAAATATATTAATTTAGCACTCGCAAAGTGATTTATTAAACCTGAAAGCAATTTTGCTAACGGTATCTGACTCTATATTTAACACGTTTCAAAAGAAGGTGCAAATGGTCTGTATGCGTAATTGCGCACACATGGCAGCGGTTATTGTCGCAAGAAGGAGACATCGAAAGGAAGGAAGGAGCAAGAAGCAAGGAGACGCAGAGAACGCATTTTTTCACTCCGTGTGAATATTTTTTGCAATGAAGGAGAAAACGATCATCAAAACATATCGTTTATCCAGCATTGCCATTTTGGAGCTGTTGGGGGAACTCTGAATGGATTTGGAGCCAGCCACAAGGAGGACCCACGCAATACCCCAGATATCACAAAACTCCTTGCAACATTGCACTTTTTTGCATCTGGGATCTCCCAATCTCGTTTTTCAGAAGTGCGCGCAGTCATCTTATCCACAGTCACTTCTTGTGACCCATTTGGTATGTGCATTTTTCTAGAGGCCAATACAAAACACCTGTTTTTTTGTTTTTTTTTACTGCAGTTTCTTTACACGCTTGTCCCAAGTGGGGTCGCGAGGGGTGCTGGTGCCTATCTCTAGCAGTCAATGGGCGAGAGGCAGGGTACACCCTGGACAGGTCGCCAGTCCATCGCAGGGATATATATATATATATATATATATATATATATATATATATATATATATATATATATATATATATAGGCTATATATATAGGCTATATATATATATATTATTTTTTCTTTGGGATTGGGTGGGGATGTCACTGTAAGATTAAAATTTCTTAATGCACTAGTTTGCACAAACTACAAACTACTTTGCCGCAAACCACAAAACGCGCAAAACCATCATTTAAATAGGGCGTCTCCAACAATTTTGCACCTGCCACCAGTTACGCAATCGCTCTTGTTAAATCACCCGCAAACCATGGTTCAGCCCCTCGCGCAAAATTCCAGTTTGCGAGCGCAAATTACTGCACGCAAAATTGGATCTTGATAAATCCGGCCCAAAGTCAGATATGGTTTTTCACTCAAAATTAATTCAGCTACAAGTTTTTCTTTTAATTATTTTATGCAATAAATATTTGACATATTGAGATATGGTGAATTTTAAAGAATTATTGATAATCTGGAAAGTGAAGGAACATTTTTTTGATGTAGTGTAGGACTCGTTTCCAGTGAGGGTTGCACTCCGCCAAGGTTGCCCTTTGTCACCGATTCTGTTCATAACTTTTATGGGCAGAATTTCTAGGCGCAGCCAAAGTGTTGAGGGGATCTGTTTTGGTGGCCTAAGGATTGCATCTCTGGTTTTCGCAGATGATGTGGTTCTACTGGCTTCATCAGAGCCTGATCTACAGCTCTCCCTCGAGTGGTTCGCAGCTGAGTGTTGTGAAGAGTGCACTGTACAGGTCTGTGGTGGTGAAGAGAGAGCTGATCCAAAAAGCAAAGCTCTTGATTTACCAGTCGACCTATGTTCATACCCTCATCTATGGTCATGAGCTTTGGGTCATGACTGAAAGAAAAAGATCCCGGATACAAATGGCTGAAAAGAATTTTCTCCATTATGTGTCTGGGCTCTCCCTTAGAATAGAATTCAACTTTATTGTCATTCCACAGTCACAAGTACAGAGCAACGAAATTAATTCTCTGCATTTATCCCATCCCCTTGGAGAGCAGTGGGCTGCCATTGTGCGGCGCCCGGGGAGCAGTGTGGGGTTAAGGGCCTTGCTCAGTGGCAGTCTGTGGGAGTGGGGCTCGAACTCAGAAGCTCAGAATTCCAAGCTTGATGCCCTAACCACTAGGCCACCACTCCTCTGCTCTTGACCTGAGCCTAGCAGACCTGGAGGAGAAAAAAAACATGTGCGGATGCTGTTCCTAGACTTCAAATCAGCTTTCAACACCATCATCCCACAGCATTGATAGGAAAATTGGAATAGATGGGCTTCAATACAACCCTTTGCAACTGGCTGCTAGACCTCCTCTCAAATTTACTTCAGTCAGTCCGGGTTGGACAGAACACCTCTGATATCATCACCCTAAGCTCAGGCTCCAATCAGAGCTGCGTCCTGAGCCCCTGCTGTCCAGCCTGATGACACATGACTGTGTCCCCAGGTTCACCACCAATCACATTGTCAAGTTTGCAGACGACACTACAGTGGTGGGCCTCATCAAAGACGACAATGACCAGGACCACAGAGAGGAGGGGGAGTAGCCTGTGGGCAGGTGTAGAGACAAGAGCCTGATCCTGAACATGGAGAAGATGAAAGAGATCATCTTGGATCATCTTGAACTGGCCTAACCACACTCCACTGCTCATCAACAGCTCAGCTGTAGAGGTGGTCAGCAGCACTAAATTCCTGGGGGTGCACATCAAATACAACCTCTGACCAGCTGTCTCACAGTGTGGTGTGGAGGCTGCAGCGCCTGAGACTGGAAGAATGTGAGAAGAGTGTTGAGGGCAGCAAAGAAGATCATCTGGGCTCCTCTTTCCTCCATTGAAGATATTTCATCCTAGAGCTTCGTGTCCTGAGCCGGTAACATCATCAGCGACCCCTCACACTGCCAGAATGGACTGTTCTCCCTGCTGCCCCATGAGACACTTATAAACATTATATTTGCACGATCCACGCAGCTGATTTTTTAATAATCCCTTTAAATAGATCACAACTCAATGTTCTATTTCATTTCGCACCATAGTAATTTTGCAATGCACGTAACCTTTCCATATCAATTCCTTTTGCACCATGACTTTAAACTTGTTTTTCCTTTTCTCCTAAGCTGTTTACATTCTGATCACTGCTGCACTTTATAAATGGAAATGTTTCATTTCACTGTTGTAAGCTGCTCATTCTCTGTTGAAAAGCTGTATGCATCGAAATTTTGTTTTGTAAACACTGTGTATACAAAATGACCATAAATGTCTAAGTCTATTTCTACAGATTAGAGCATTACAAATGTGAGTATCAACAATTTACGAAACAATCTAAGCTTGTTTTAAAGACTTTTTTGGTGTATGGAATACATGGCTTTGCTAAAAATATGTCTTTCAAAAAATAATTTGGGACATGCTATTCTGTTGAACTGCTTTACAGATACTGTATCTATAAGAAGGCTATTGTTTGAATGAACAAAAGAGAAAAGGGCCCTTATGCAAACAAAAAACCTGCAAATTTTTTTTAGATTTATTAGAATCCAAAATCCTAAGAAAACTAAAGCATAACACACAGCAAAAAGCAATCACTACAGAAAAAACATTCATACGGGGACCAAAATGAGATCAAAAAGGAAATCAAAACAGACTTGGGAGCCAGATATTCTTTATCAGAGGTTGGAAGGTTGAAAACCTGTTTCC